CGTCTTCACGGTAACCCCCCCTACAAGCCCTCCTCTCCATTTTTGTCTCGGCGCTCGAACGGGGTTGACCAAAAGTTTACAGCTGCTGCTGCTGCTGCTGTATCCACCAAATCACCTCTCGACAACGGGGGGTCGGGGATTGGGCGACAGCAGCGCCCGGACCAGCAATCCTGTCAAAACGTCCCGTCGCGGAAACTACGATAAAAACTGCGGGCGGAACAGCTCCAACGTTCACGCGCCCAACCAAGCGCGTGCCTGTGTTTCTCCTTCAAAACGAATAAATACACAAACCGGGGCAACATTTCCCTTGGTCCACACGACGAAACGTTACGTAAGTCGAATTGCAAGAGAGTTACCCACAAGAGAGACGACCGCGTCAAAAAATCAGTCCACGATTTCTGTGCTGTGGTGGTGGGCCCATCGAACCCAGCAGATCAGAGGCTGTCTTCGTCCGTGAGCCCTCTGTGGGGTACCCCCTGGAATTCACCACGGAGCCCCTGCGTGCGCCTTCGCCTCATCACGAAGACGCCCACCGCGCCGATCGCCACCAAGACCATCAAGCCAGCTCCGAACTGGGGTGTTCGTAGAGACAGGTAACCGAACAGGGGGGGGGGGGGGGGATAAGCCTTCGCAGGGTTTTTGTATTCAGGAAACATGTTGGATAAAGCATACAATCGGGGAAGCTGGGTTAGGGTTAGGGTTAGGGAATACGGTCTGCGAACCCCCTCTCTGTTCTATTTCCTTATACAATACTTCTTTATTTGCCGTGAAGCCGGTCCGGTTACTTCACGATCAGAACAAAATACACCATACGACAGCGGACTCTCCCTACTGTGAGCAGGAGAAACAGTGGACCGACTTCCATTGGGGAGGGAGGAATTCGTACGCTGGGCGGGGGGAGGGGAATGCTTGTTGCGTTCTGTGTAAGCTCACCCCGCGTGCGCATGTTTGCATCGACCGTGCCAACCGGGTTTCCAGTGAAAAAGAGGGGGATAACAAGGGGTGAAACGCGTTCTAAGTCATCAAGGCCCCCGGGCATGGGGGGGGGCGAGGGACAAGACGATAGACCAATCGCGCGCACAAGAGCGGGAGAGAGAGAGAAGTAGAGGTGGCGAGTGTGTCAGAGACAGACAGCGAGAGAGAGAGAGAGAGAGAGAGTGAGAGAGACGGCGACAGAGAGATAGAGCGAGACAGAGAGAGACAACGAGAGAGAATGCGTCAACGAGAGAGAGAGAGAGAGAGGGAGAGGGAGAGAGAAATATCCGCCCCAGTCTTCGCGTACCAATCCCCTGACTCTTGCTTTGAGAAAGACGCACACATTCTTGAGGACAACAGCATCAACATCAGAAAGACGGGGGGAGGACAACCATGTACGATACAGCCATCCAACAGTAAGACCAACAGAACACCCCCCCACGTGGTTGAGCAAGAGGAACCATTGTTAGACCCAACTGCCCACTCAAGCAAAGAAAAAAAAAAAAAAGCGAGCAACTAAACTTGACACCTGTGATACAGGATGAAGCAGGTTGTCGCCGGAGTTTCATCTCGCAAGGCGGCTACACCACTAAAACATGTCTTACTGCTATCGCGTGTGATGGTTTCTTGAGTTATTTTTTTCGATATCTATTTCCGTTTAGGTGTCTAGAAGTGTGTACCCTTACGGGGGGTAGTTGGGCTTGTGACCAGGAAAGGTGTCCGCGTCAGCTGGACCGGTACGGACACTGGAAGCTGGAAGGTACTGAGCGGAGACCGGAACGGTTTTCAGTGTGAAGGCAACGACACCCACAACACCTCATGCAAAATACGGTCCACCACCACCACCAACATCACCACCAACACCAACGACAACGACAACAACAACGACAACAACACCAACGACAACACCAACAACAACACCAACAACGACAACAACAACAACAACAACGAGGCACTATGCAGTACAAACAAACCAACTGACCTTGAGCACGAAGGAGTTGTCATCGACGGACGGGTCCTCCTCCTCATCGTCATTTCTTTCACCCTCTTCTTGTCCTATCTCTTCCTCGTAGTACTGGTGAGAGACAAGAAAGAGAAGGACAGAGAGAGAGAGAGAGAGAGAGAGAGAAGAAAGAGAAGGACAGAGAGAGGCAGAGAGTGGAGCAGGTGAAGAACACAACCAAAACGGAAGGCGCGCGGTAGCGCACAAGAGTGTAGTTCGTGTGGTCGATGGACCCATCCCTATGTCCTTGGCGCCATTAACCCCGGGCAAAAGCAAGAATACAGGCATATTTTCAACTACAAACATACTTGACCAACCGCATACACCAAGAACAACCTATCCGTTAACGCGGAAATACCCTTTAAGCCAGCAAAGAAAGCTGCTGTGTGCTCGCTTCGACAGCCGGTCAATGTTCTCCGCCAGCGATTCTTGTTTTCCAACAACAAAACCCGACAAAAAACGCAAGGAGAGACCGCTCGTTGTGGTCTCACAGCGCAACAAAAAACCAAAAAAAAAAAGAAGATCGTCACCTCTTCTTCCTCCTCCATCTCCTCCTCGTACTCCTCTTCATATTCCTCCTCCATCTCTTCGTACTCTTCCTCGTACTCCTCGTACTCCTCCTGGTACTCCTCCTCGTATTCCTCCATCTCTTCCTCGTACTCTTCCTCATATTCCTCTTCGTACTCCTCCATCTCTTCCTCGTATTCCTCCATCTCCTCCTCGTACTCCTCTTCGTACGAGGTGACCTCGTCGCTACCCCCCTCCCCCTCTCCCCACGTCTCCTCGTCCTCGCCGCCGCTGCCCACGCCGCCGTCGGCGGTGGCGGTGCTGTTGCCAGACTCTTCCGGCACCAAGCCCTCGTCGCCTCCAACGGGGGCATCCGTGGCGACCGCCGCGGGGGCATTCGCCGGGGGCTCCGTGGCTGGCTCCTCCAGCGGGAACGCGCCGTCCGCGGTACTGCTGTTGCCCGCGGGGGGCTCCGTGGAGACGTGGGCCGGGGGATCCGTGGGCGTCTCTTCCAGCGGGAACGTGCCCTCCGAGGTGTCGTTGGACCCAACGGCCGGGACCGGCGTGGCGGCTACGGCGGTGGCGGCCGGGGCGGGGGTGCTGCTGCTTGTGGTGTTTACTACAGCGTCGCCGCCGTCGCTGCTTCCCACCACCGTGCTGTTGCTGCTGCTGCCGACGGTGCTGTTACTGCTGCTGCTGGCGGTGCTGTTGCTGCTGCTGACGCCGCCGGCACCCTCATCGGCATCCCCGTCCCCCTCGCCGGAAACAACGGTAGCGCCGTCGCCTTCGCCGGCGACGGCCGTGCTGTTGGTGGTTGTGTTCGGCGCCGTGGCTTCCTCTTCGCCTTCTCCAAGCATGCCACCACCGCCTTCTTCTCCCCCCTCTCCGGTGCTAGGAGTTTCGTAACCGTCCTCTTGCAGCCTCCTCTCTTCCTCCTCAACCCACAAGTCCGTTTCGTATTGTTGCCATCCCGAAGGGGCTCTGCGGAATGGGAGGGAGGGGGGGGTCTTATTGTTCGCCACGGGGCACCCGACTTTGCGGGAACGAGGGGGGGTAGAAAAAAGCTGCAGCTTTGTCCGTAACACCTTAATCGCACCACGGACATGCATGTTTGTCGCGTCCATCTCGAGTTTGATTGCTCAAAGATCATTGAAAATTCCGGGGGGAGTCACATATCACACAAGTGTTGCAACACTTACACTTTCTTCTTTCGCACACGGTTCTTCATAAAGCGTAGTCCTAGACCTTCGCATGTGAACTACACTGCACGCACCAGACCCTTCTACAGGACAACTTGCAATCGAACAGGGCGTGACTACACTGTCAGCAAAAAATATGTCCTGATTCTTTGACACATCCCAGGTGGAAGAGCGCCGCGTCGGATCTGTACATGCGACCCGGAAGAACAATCCCCCCTCAGCGGGACAATACGCTGAAAATTTCGCCCCACCGACTGAACGGGCGTTGGTGTGCGGTGTAACTTGGCACGGTGGTGCGCATTGACACATGCACAAAACCGCAGCACGAACGCATGTGTCTGTACAACGTATCCTATTCGGACGGAGCACTACATAGTCGAGAGAGTTCAGCAACGCGCTACTGAAGCTGGCCATCTCTAGAACCGTGGCTGAAACCGTAGGCGGGTGAGGTCTTCGCACGCGCCCCACATTCCGCCAGCGCTGCTGTAGGGTTTTTTAATAAAGTACATACAGCATTTGGCCACAATGTTTAGGACCAGGGCCCCGGGACCCCCCAATACCCCCCCCCCCCCCCCCCGCACACATAGCGAAGTTG